CTTGGAAGGAACTGATAATAAACCAAGTTTTTTTTATGAGTTTTTTTGCGAGCCTTTGTATCTGTGTTTTTCTTCATTATCTGCTGGAAAAAAATCAGTAATTTTCTTCAATAGAGACGATAATATGTATACCTCAATCCATACAAAATGTTTGTACCTAAGAAAAAACAATCAAAATAATACACTAACTATGGCAAGCAAGAGATCAATATGTTTGGTTCTTTTAACAAACATCATCATTGGTTCCATATTAGTAATCACATATTTATTATTGTATGCTATCAAATATAACACAATCCATAAGCAATTTTCCCAAAAAGTATATGAAGAAACCTATAAAAAGGGACAAAAGAGAAGATAAATTTTCAATCATCCTCACTGGAATTTTTAACAGAGTTAAAAAAAAGGTCGCAAAAATAGCAAAAAGAAATTGCAAGGGATACATGAATCACTATGACTTCCGGTAAAAGATTAAGCTTCATAAAATAGGAGGAAGAAAGCTTTGAGAAATGGAACACACTTCATAAGAAACTAAATAAATGTATATGTATTTAACTTTCTTATTGAAAAAAACCTGCAAATAATAGTGGCAGAAATAAAAGATTTGTTTACTAAAGAATCAAATGTAATGAATTCAATCATTTCAAAAGTGTTATGAGTTGTGGGCGGAGAGGTACAAGAGTAGTAATGTCGCATTGCAATAAAAATCAATTTTCATTGTTTATATGAAGAAACCTGTAGAAAGGGGGAAAAGAAAAGATCAATTTTCAATCATCCTTGCTGAAATTTTTTAACAGAGGTAAAAGAAAGTCACCAAGATAGAAAAAAGGAATTGCCATTGTTACATGAATCACTATGACTTAAAGTAAAGATTAAACTTTATGAAATTGGAGGAACAAAACTTTGAAGAATGAAACAAACTTCATAAGAAGCTTAATTAATGAATTTGAATTTGACTACCCTATAGCGGAGAAAAAACCCTACAAATAATAGTGACAGGAAATCCCTCTAATTATAGACAACAAATGGTAGTGTGAACAAATTCTTATTGTGCCTTGTCGAAAGGATCACAACTCATTGAAAAAGTTACAACTCTTTAGAAAGGTCACAACGTTTCATAAAAGTCATATTTTTTCCATAAAAGTTGCAACTCTTCATAAAAGTCACTATTTTTCATACAAGTTACAACTTATCAGAAAAGTCGTAACTTTTCATAAAAGTCACTACTTTTCATTAAAGTCACAACTTTTCATGAAAGGGGAAGACTAATTTTGTAAATAAATAAATTAAAAGGAAATTCTGGTCTGTGATGGCACCACGTAGGCGGGCCTATGATTCTCTTATATATATATATGATATATGATTAATTTATATTTATGGGACATTTGCTTAGTTTTCGGCAGAATAGATGTATGACTATTAAATGTCAATTCTTTTAGGATTTTATTTGCTAAATATTTATTTGACCAACACATGTCAATTTAATCTAAGAGTTAAGTATATATGTATCAATTCTTCTCCATCTAGTCTAGCTACTAGATTGGGCCATATCCAAGAAATATAAACAGTCAGCCCAGCCCAATATTGGGGGATCAGAAGTTGATTCTATAGTTAAAGCTTCAAATCAATAAATCGAGGAGGAAGTCCGAAGTTGTATATTTGGTTGATTGATTAAAATAATTTGCTAATTAAATCTATAATTATATATTGTTTAATATTAAAAAATGATATATATATATTTGTTAACTATTATTTTAATAAATAACTATACGGTGTAGTTTTCCTAAATCGAAAAGCTAAAAATGAAGGGGAAAAAAAGAATATCAATAATTTATACTATGTAGCCAAATTAACCCATCGCTAACAAAAGTTTTCAAAATTACCTTCAAACCTAACGAATCCCCACTTCATTAACATATAGTCCATTTAATTCAATTCTTAGTTTTTTTAAATGACCCGTAAATTAGAAAAAAAATCATAAATAATAATTTATATTGATTATATCCTTCCCATCTTCTTAACCCCCAAACCTACCGCATCTCATTATTTATCTAAACTATATACATATATTCTTGAGATTATCTTCTAAATAAAACACACACCCTTAAAAGGACTCGAAAAATTTGCTAACCATAAGAAATACTTGATTGACCTTAAATACATGATAGTCCCATTTTAGTTTGCCAAATTCAAAAATCAAAATAACTTTTGTTGATGAACATATTCCGCAGTCATCAGATTTACAAATTCGATTTTCTGAGTTAAAGAAGGAGAATTTGATAATGACTCTCGATATCTTGAGAGTATCCTCCATTCACGTATATATAATATTTACATTAGGTTTAATTTAAAATACATGAGATAAAGTTTACATGAAATCAAAACTCCTAAATACATGAGAACTATCATTCAAAAGATAATTCAAAACTATAGTGATAAGACTATAATTGTTTATCCTTAATATCCCTTGTGAAGCTCAACGTCAACGGTAGTGTGTACGGACATTGAGCTTGTCCCAGAAATGAATAAAAAGAGGCAAACCTAGTGCCTTTGTGAAGATATCTGCATATTGAGCCTAGTGCCTTTGGATATTAAGGAAATTTTGTTGTTTGAGAAAAAAAAAAAACAGAAATCACGCAATGCTATGCTACTAAGTTAAAAAAAGAGAATTTGATAATGATTCTCGATATATTGAGAGTATCTTCCATTCACATATATATAGTATTTACATCAAGTTTAATTTGAAATGCATAAGATAGAGTTAACATGAGATTAAAACTCCTAAATACAAGTTAACTATCAAAGGATAATTCAAAATTCTAGTGATAAGACTACAATTATTTATCCTTAGTATTTTGTTAATTACTGATGTGTACTTTCCCCACCAAGTCTCAATTTCACTAGATATGTAAATATATATATTTACTATATGATATAAGCTCCAAAAAGCGTACAATTAAATTATCAAGTTTTATTATTACTATTAATTTATTTGTATAGAACAAACATATTAAAAGAAAACTAATATTCGGATAAGATAAGCGAACTTGTGAATATTATATGATGACAATGTTATTTATTTAATTAGTTCATAGACCTAATAATTCGTGTTACAAACATATTAAAAGAAAAATTATTGCAGGTAATATCGGAACTTTTTCCGATTGTCAAAGGAGAAAAAATATTTAATGTAATCAAGACCAAGAATTCCAGTTCTTTTATTTTTGAACTGTCAAGAATGTTTTAAAAAAGAATAATTAAACAATTTATCATGGTGGAAGAATGGAATTAATTAGTTCCATAAAATAGTTAATTAGATGATGTCTCACACGATACACTTCCAATTAATTTTTTTTATGATAATTAATAATAATAGCGTGTGCTACTAAAACATAATCACTTGTCAAAAGCATGAATGATGACGAATTATTACTAATTATAATTATAATTACCTCGAATATGAAATGCAAAATAACGCCCTCCAAAACCATATGGTATAATTATAAAATATTTGATCCTCAAATTAATAGAGTATTGGCCCCACTATGAGAGTGTATTTAATTAATTAATGTAATCGATCATCACATACGTAATAGTTCAAGATGAAATGGTCTTCTGTTCACTTTCTATATTTAATTAGAAAAAAATAAAAATAACAATAGATTTCAATATGAAAATTAACTATATTTTATATGTAAAAATGACTATTTTTATAAAGAATTTTTATTTTTCAATGGGCTTATAATTTATGATTTTTAGCTTAAAAATAACTGTTTAAAATTAAAATTTATACGATAAAGTCAGAAGATGTTTTAATATATTTTTTACTTTGTTTTCATTTTATTTATTATTCCTTCCAACAAGATTGATTCATTTGAATTTTGATCCCGACCTTTTTTTTAATATCTTATCCAAATAATTCGCTGGAATTATTCAACAATAATACAAGGCTTCTGTTAATTAAACTTAATTAGTATAATTAATCCCGCTTACGTATTCCCAGTCTACCTTCCCATTATGGCGCCCACAAGAATCACTACAGCGCTACTCAAATTAAACCATACACCTTATTGTTATTATTCTATTATAACAGAGAAAATTAGAATAGGTTGGTTCACATAAACTATATAATTTATAAAAAAAATTATGCATCTACAATTCAAAAAGTATTTACCGAACTAATTCATTTAAAAGGTAATTATATATATAACTTCATTAGTTAACAAGAATTAATTTAATAAATTACACCTTGTATTTATTATTTTTCTTAAAAAACGTGAAAATACCAGAATCGACATTTAAAATGGGACAAAAACAGTACACATCACATGTAACTCTGCATTTACATCGAGTGGTACAACAACAACAAGATCAATAACATATCCGATGCAATTTCATTGCACCATTATTGATGGGTATATACAATTTATTACTTAATTCACGCTTTTGTTCATTGCTTGAGGGTGAGGTGGGGGGTGTTGAATACAAAGAAGTTGTCACCATTTTAGAATTTAATAAAACCATATATTATACATCTTGTCTTCTTTTTTTTTCAAATAATAAAGGTTGGCTTTTTCTTCGTTGACAAAGTGCAAGTATTATTCAGGACTGAATCTATTTGGCCAGTGAACAACCTATATGGTCATTTACTCTTTTAAGGCTTCATCTATTTTTCCTTATCCTTTTTATGGCCTTTCCTATCTTCATCATAAATTAACAACCAACACTTCTCTGAATAAGCTAAAGGTCATGTATACTTTTTCACCTTAATTGAAGAATTCTTACAAAAGGTATATATATGAACAATCAAAATAGGATAAAAATGAGATATATGCTCAATTTAGCTTATGATAGAGGTTGACACACCAAACCAATGATCTTTTTCGTGTTCTATTGATCAGAATCATCGAACAGCGCCACGCCAGTAGAAAGAGTCTTGTTGTTGGTGACTCGGTACGTAGTTTTGAGTGTGCAAAGATTTTTTTGGATTGATTGTAATTTGTTTTATTGAGGGAATGAATATTGGTGAAATGCTTAAGAAGTTGGAGAAATATCTACCAATGAAGAAAGTAGGTGGAGAAAATTTGTCCAAGAGCAAATCATGGCATGGGAGAAGCACAAGTACAATAGCTCCAGAAGGGTGTTTTTGGGTTTATGTTGGGCCAAATAAAGAGAAGTTTGTTATAAAAACAAAGTATGCAAACCATCCATTATTCAAGAAATTGCTTGAAGATGCTGAAAAAGAGTATGGTTATAGCTATAGCCAAGGCCCAATTTTGTTGCCTTGTGATGTTGATTACTTCTATGTAGTGTTGGCTGATATGGTCAATAAGAAAGAGATTGATGATTCAATAGGGTGTGGATCATGTAGTCCATTATTTAGTCCTAGTAGGCGTTTGGGTAATAGCCAAATGGCCAAGGGTTATGGTTCTTATAAGAGTCTCACTCCACCAAGATCGTTCAAACGCCTCAACTCTTTCAATTGTGCGTGATGATAAGTATGTTAATAGAGGCACCCAAAAATGTCGATGAATGAAGCAAGTGAAAATTATATAATATAAAAGATCAAGGTTCAAATCTCAGCAAAAACAAAAATATAGTCGTGGTACGTGCAAGCTGATCTGAATGACCCGTATTATAAAAAAAAAATATGTCCATAGCATATTTACCTAATTAGAAGTTGATTTATTTTTAAAAAAAAATATGTTTCTTTTAAAGGTATGTGGAGATTGTAGGCCGCACTTATAGTTATACACGTGTGTATGCAGACATATTAAGTTGAATTTGCTTCGTCGATTTTGTTTTTTGTTTTGTTTTTTCATTTGGTGTTCGGAGCTTATATTAGAGCTCCGATCAAATTCTGATCATGCATTGCAGAGCATATTCGGGGGTAGCACTCCCTATATAATTTTCTCCATTCCTAAGATTTGAACACAAAACTTCTGGTTAAGAATGAAGCAGTCCCACCATTTTGACGGATATGTGTGATATGCTTACATGCAGAAAATTACCAGTGGCCTGTGAGTCTGAAAATCTATGCTATAAATACATATTTTGCAACAACAAACAAATATATGGTGCTTAATTGGCTCTATTTTCCTACGGGCCTTATTTGTGTGTGTTTGACGTGTCTATAGCTATATCACAAGTATTCTGGTTTCCTCTTCACTTGCATGCCAATTTTTTTAATTATATAGTAAATTGTATAAAGATTATTTTTTTCCTTGGGCATATAATAGATGGCCACTGTTTATTTAAATTCAATATTAGTTCATAAATTTTAATTAGAGGAAAGTGATTAATTTTGGTCTGAATTTTTAATTTTTAAATTAGATATCCAATTTAAATTTCGGTTTGGATATTCAATAATCCAAAAAGTTCAGATTTCGATTTGGATTTTGAGTGGATCCAAACTATGTCCACCCCTAAACAAAAATGACTATTTTTAAGTCCAACAATAGTTGTCCATTATACTATTTTGGAATGTCCAACAATATTTGTCTACTTTATGAAATCAATGATAATTTTACACTTAATTCCTATTTTATATCATTAATTATAGTTATTCCCCTATAACATTGTTCAAAACATGTATTTATTATATTTAAAGAGTGATATAGTAAAATTACCCTTTTATTTATGTTTTTTTTAAAGAGTGTGTCAAGTCAATAACAAACAACTATTATTGGACAGAAGGAAGGAGTACCATAATGACAATTGAAATCTAGGTGATACCTTTTGAATTTTGATAAACATAAGGGCTCTTATGGTCTTTACCCAAATTTCAAATTGCCTTTTGATGGCCTAATTTAACACACAAAATTTTGGTGGACAACTAAAAGTAACAAAGAGATAGAGACCCATAAGCTTTGAAATAATTAATGCACATAAATTATCTTGTGTGAATTAAAATTGTCAACTGCCTTATTCAAAACGTGCACAATTTGTGAAGAGAGAGATTTCATATTGAGTTGATGTGTAGGGCATTAAATGCCCATGTAACAATGAGATCAAGACAAGTCACTCTTTTTAGTAGTTAAATATTAGATAAAACACAAAAGTGATGTATACAAAAAATTAAGGGCAATTAACATAAATTCCACTATTTTATGAGCTAATTATTTAGATTCATGCTAGTTTATAATAATATGTTTCTTATCATAATTTGGAGTTCAGATATATGGGTTCAAAATTAGGTGTAATTTGTCCTAGATACACTGTATCCAAATGGATTCGCATGTACCTGATTCTCGCCTCCCTCCTATGTCACTCATCACTTTCCTCTCTTACTCACTCTCTCCTACCTCACTTGTCACTCTCCTCTCTGCCTCGCCTCTCTCCCTATGTATATGCATTTCATAATGTCATGGTATCCCACATACATGTATCTAGTGTGATTCACATATATCTGGGATACATAGACTATCTCGCTCGTCTCCCTCCTTTCTCACTCACCTTTTTCCCTATTTTAGTGTATCTGGTAGCAAAAATTTATGTATCTAAGTGTATTTGAGTTGAAATCTGGTATAAAACTTTTAGTTAGTGAGACAATATATAATTATTTCAAACTATAGGTAGAATAGTAATTATGATAGAAGTTTTTGTATAATTAATCATGTAGTTTTAAAAAAAATTAAGCATATGGAATTAGTAATTATGATAGAAGTATTTGAGTGTTTTTTTTAAAATAAAATAATAATGTAGTTTTTGGTTGTGGATAAAGAATTGGTTAATTAGAGCATTCCAATAAGAGGGATGCAGGACATGTACGAGGAGGTTGAAATCTATTAAGAATGGATTAAAAGACTTCAACACCCAAGAACTAAAAAAATGTCGTTGATAAGATAAAATAGGCCTGGACAAAGCTTAAAGCCAATTTGTGGATGGGTCGGGTATAATAATAAGGGAAATTTATGTGAAATGACAAATATCTAGAGTATATTATGTAATATAGCTATAGTTTCGATTATTTTTAATCTGGGGCTATTTAGCGAAATTTTGCTATTTGATTTTCTAATTCTATAAATTCAGAATTTGTATAATTCAGTCTTGATTGTATAAATTCAGAATTTGTATAATTTGATTCTTGTATAAATCCAGAATTTGTATATGCTTATTCTAGCTATTTGTATACGATTTATAAAAAAATCACAGTAAATTACCTTGTTTGTATATTGGCAAGCGAAATATACAGAGTTTTGAAAAATTTCTAAATGTATAATTATAGAATTTGTATACAAACGGGCAAGCGAAATATATAAATCGCAGGCTTCATATGTATATACTTACCCTGTTTGTTTATTTGCAAATACAAATCGAGCATTATTATCAAAACTATAGCTATATAGCCTTATTATGTGCTATTTCTGAAATTTCTCAACTAATAAATAGTTTTTATCATTTTATTTATTTTTGGGTTCATGATTACTTGAGACAAATATATATTTTATTTATTTTGTAATGTTGAATACTATATTTAATGTTAGATTTATTAAGTGATTTTTTTTTATACAAAGCAAAGTTTCATGATTTTGATAGATTGATTTTATACTTTTCCCATCGTGAACTAATGAGAAATTTATGTTATAAAACATGATTTACTCATACTATTTAGCAATATTATCACATCTATAAACTCTAGCTGCCATTTTAATAAGTGGAAGGTTTGGTGGAGAACCAGCACTAAGGCTTTGGTCTAGTGGTAAAAGAGCAACGCGTGATGTGTACTAAAAAAAAAAAAGTTTGATGGAGAACCACTGTTGATCTCAATGGGATGGAGCTAAAATGAACATTTAGAAACAAGCAAAAGAGCATGAATTGATGCCAAACAGAAATAACAATACAAAGTACCAATAATAACAACACCACAAAGTAAAAAACACAATCAATTACACATAAATAAAGTAAATTTCATGGCAAATTAGAGCTGCAATATGGCTGTTTAGATCTCCATAAGTTCTTCAAATGTTTTCATAGCAGAAGCTGGCAATCCAAGAAGCACATTGACACTTCTCCTCTCTTTCCCATGAGAAAGAAACAGAGAAACTTCCTTCTCTGGTAAAGCCACTGGCCCTGATACAATAGGCTCTCCCCACCCGAAATCCGTCGTGTGGAAAGAAAGCCTAGACCAAGTAGTAATAAGAAGAGTAGCAGTTAAAGAAGGCCTAGCTCTTGTTGCTTCAAAATAGTCTATAGCAGATTTCATGTAACTGTCTGTAACCAATTTAACAGCTTCTTGAACCAACTTAACAGCAACAGAAAGTGGATTTTCGACTATCTCTGCAGCAGTGCAGAGTGCATTAGTTAAAACAATTGCGTTTCCAAAATATCCTTGTGGAATTGAGGGATCAAATCTTGATCTTCCATCTACAGCAAAGAGAAGTTTTGTCTTTTGATCAGGCTTCATTTGTAATGCCTGAGTTCGTGCTTTCCAGACGAAAGCTGAAAGGACTTCAAATGAAGTGCATTTGGTAACATTGCCATCTTCTTTGGCTTTTACTTTTAGTTGTTCAAGCTTCTCAGGGTCAAAACAGAAGGTCTTATACAGCATTTCTTCTTGGTATAGTTTAGTAGAGTCTGATATATCTTCAATTTCAGCGAACTCGTTATGAGTATATTCAGGCTTTGGTGGATTTCTAGGCTTGAGTATGCTCCTGTCTAGGAATGGAATGACTTTGATAGGTAAACCTCTAGCAGTTTCACCCCAAGAATTCACAAACTCCATCGCTCCGATCCCATCAAACATGCAATGGTTCATGCACAGACCAAGCACAAATCCCCCACATTTGAACTTTGTCACCTGAAAATAGAGAATATATTATCACTTAGTTAGAATTGAGCTCATATTATCTACGCGCATCCATGCTTCAAAAAGATTGAATAGCGCACTTGGTTGAATGCTAAGTTATTTATACATGTTTTGGATTGTTGGCAGAGGCGAATCTAGGATTTTTCGAACATGGGTGCACGAAGTAACATGTATTGAAGTGAGAATTGATCTTTAATCCTCAAGGTCAAAAGCTCAACATTTAACCATGTGGACCGTTTAGACTTTTTGTAGTACGGGTGCAAGAATATAATATTATACAAAATCTTAAAAAATATACATATAAAATATCTAATTTTACGAAGAGAGCACGGGTGCGATTGCCCTTTTTTTTGGCTCTAAATTCGCCACTGATTGTTGGTCAAGTGATTTTGTGAACACAAGTCATGTGCATATCCTAGAATTGCACAATAGAGCAACTTTATCATAAAGGGTTCAATTGAATTCCCTTCATTCATAAACTTCTATTGTGCAAAATGGGCTAAAACAAACCACGAGTTGGTTTCTCAGATGTCACTCAACTAATAGTTATTATCTCAGAAAGTCACTTTCTTTAATGAGATACTAATAACTCTGAATTAAGTGATCATTTGAGAAATCAACCGAATAAAGAAAGAATTCATAGTACCTGAGCCACCAGGGGAGGCATTTCTAGTATATTTTTAGCACCAGGGATATCATAAACAAGTTTGCCAAGTGTAACAGGATCAGGCTTAGTATTATCACCAATATCCTCTATGTTACAATTTGCTTCTGCCTCAACAAAAACTGCCCCTTCTCCACTACAGTCCACAATAAGTTTCATTTCCTGGCTTATTGTCAATCTCCCTGCTAGTGGATAATAATGAACAAGAACCTTTGACAAAGCATCCTTCATCACTTCAGCAGCATTCTCATTCCCCTTTTCTTCTGATTTAAAACAGTAAATTGTTCGAACCGGCACGGCTATATTCTGATCAAGATTTGATAAGTAATATTGCCCCTTCTCTGTTTCCTCTGCTGGTGCCACCAAACTTGGCACTCCTTGCTTCACAATAAGCTCAATAGCAACATTGTTTTTAACATTCTCCATTTCTCAAATTAAAAATCCTGTTTTTGAAGAAACAAATAAAAAAGTTAAAGAAATTGAAGTGGCATGAAAAATAAGATACACAACAAAAACTAAAAAAAAGTACCTAAAAGACAGGGGAAAAATGCAGTTAATGTTCTGATATTTTGAGTCTAGAAATGGTATACTTGTGAGTGTGGAGATAAATGACTTTGGATATATATATATATATATATATAGGAAATGCATGAGTTGGACTATTGACTATTTGTTGAGTATTGGTTAACAAAAATGTGTACTATTGAAAAGGACCATAGGAGCTGTATTTTTTTATATTACTAATTAAAGCTATTTATACGCTAAGCTGTCTAAATGGTAGAGGAGAAAATTTGGGTACGTAAACAAAAAGAAAAAGTTTTTTAAAAGAAATAAATTGCAAAAAAAATTAACAATAAATGATAATGTAGATAGTATATGATGAACAAACTTGCTTTTTACATGTGCTGGTGGCCGGGAAGCAGTAGGTTTAAGTAGTAGAGGTCGAGTCTGGATTGTTACTTATGAAATTTAATATATAAAGAAGTAAACGCATAACATCTATTATATTAATAAAGATAAAGTTAAAATTTTAATTTTATGGATTCTGGATTTTAAAACGACAGGTTCTAACCTTAATGATTTTCTTAATATAAATACACTATTTGAGACGATAACTAAATTCATACACAAACTTCTAGTTTGGACCCTAAGTCTATATATACATAAAAAGTAAGTTTAATCCTTTTCCAGTGAACCCCCTAGCTCGTCCTTGATCCATATGTGAGGTGCATGCAAGTTAACCACACACAACCACTAATTAAAAAATGACAATGGAAAAAGTTCTAATTTTTTATTTTTTCAAAGTATTTGATTTGAAGAATGAGATTTTGTTGTTGTCATATGGGTGTGGTAGGCTACTGGCCCCAAAACCAAATGGTACCAATTCAAAAAATGTGGCGTAAGAATTGAAGTAAACTCTTGTATAGTTTGGTAGAGTTGGCCTCCAAATTAAGTTGATCAATGACTTAGTCTAATATTTTATACTAAAAAGTAACATATTTTCCAATATTTGTAGCTTTTGTCTATTTGAATCCTCTTTTCTTTAAAATATGTTCTCATCTACAATAAGACAAATAAGTAGGTTTTAATCTAATCATTTATGCAAATACAATAACCTTAACGTAAGGTAATAACAATGTAACATTAGGGGTAAACTATTGTAGTTATAAACAAAACTTGTTTTTGTAATAGAAGCTATAAGAGTTGGGTACTAAAATGGTTAATCAATTTAGGGAAGTTTCACATTTCACAATCCAAGAAAATTAATTGGGACCTTGAACTATAAGAAATTATCTAGCAAAGTTATTGAATTTTGTTTTGTATCAATAAAATCACTCAACTTAAGACTTTTATCTTTAAAAATCACTCAACAACATTTCTTATTAAAATAAATTAGATATGAACAAAATAAATTATTTTTTATGTTATATAAACACGGACCCCATAAATAAATTAAAAAAATTTAAACCCATTATGCTTCTCCTTTCTTTATTTCTCTAAAAGTTCTTACAAAAAATAATTGTTCTTGGAAAATTCTTTAATATTATTCATGCTAAAATTCTTCTTACGAAATGAATTTATGAAATAACCCATTTCATGTTTAATCATATTTCATGTATTTTTTAAAAAATAAATTTAAATTCCATATATTTATTGCAAAAGTATGATCAAGTACAATTCTAATTTCAATTTCAACTTTATTTTTTAAAAATAAAATATGTATATTTTTTCATAACCAAATAACTGACTCAAATTGTATTTTTCCGGACTTGTGGTTGTAGACAAACAAAAAAAAGTGAAAGGAATGATTCCATTCAGTTCATCAATTGACATTCTGACGTATTTTATAAAAAATGTTCGTGCCCAAATTGCTCTTGTTTTCCTTCTTTTTATCATTATATAAATTTTAAAATTATCATGTCATATTGCGTAGAAAGCTTTGTAAGCCACATTATTTTTATAATTAATTTCAAGTTTAAGGTATTACAATATGGCATAAAATCAATTTATTTTGTCATGCTTAATTTATTTTAGTGAGGAATGTAGTTGAGTGATTTTTAAAGATAGTAACCTTAAGTTGAATGATTTTTTTTATACAATCAATGACTTTGCTAGATAAATTCTCATAGTTCAATGATCTTTTAAGATATTAACTTATTTTTTGACTTATTAGGTGTGATCGTCTTTTTTAAAAAAATGTTAAGGATTTTCAGCATTAAAATGATCGATGTTGCTAGCTTGAAGAAGTCATAAGTAATATTGTTTTTGGACCATGAAAAACTGAGTTTAATTCAAGTGGATATCGTAGCAAAAGTTTGGAAATATTGAAACTTGAAAGGGATGAAAAATTACTTTCGTTTTGGCATATTGAAAAATGTCAATGTCTTTGATGTTTCATATAAAATTTGAAAGATATTTAAGAGACATGACATGTCAAAAGTCAAAACTTCATACACTAATGTTTGGAAACTTCGTGCAAAAATCTTTTGCTTGCATTCAAATAATCTAAAAGTAAGTTTTGACAAGTCAAAGTTGATATGTGATATGTGATATGTGTATGTAATTCACCCCAGTAAAGGCGGATTCAGAAATTAAAGTTTATGGATTTTCAATAATCTTCTTTTTGAAAAAAGAACAAAAAAACAAAACGAAAAAAAAGAAAGAAAAAATAATCAATTTTTTTTTGTGCCCAAGGAGAAACAGACCCATACAAAAGGTCAACAAAGCTTAAGTGGATTCATTCACTATCGTCTATCGTTGAACCCAGTGAGTTCTTATAAATTTAATAAATTTCGGCAGAAGTTGTACTGTTTTGCTTATTGGTAGAGAAGTGGAGTATAAGCATTAATTATCATAAATCAATCTCTTTATGCATATTTTAAACAATTATTGCGTTATGGCTTTCCAAAAAATAAAAAACTTTAACTTTAGCAATAAACAGACATAAGTAGAATCAATGGGTTAAGTAGAGAAGTGGAGTATAAGCATTAATTATCATATAGCAATCTCTTTATGCATATTTTAAACAATTATTGCGTTATGGCATTTCAAAAAATAAAAAACTTTAACTTTAGTAATAAACAGACGCAGGTAGAATCAATGGGTTCGTACGAGGCTACTGTTTTCAGCTCAAACATTGCATGCGTGTGTGGGGAAATCAATGGCATTTCCTTATGTATTACAATATTTACTCAACGTTTATTATAAAAATTCATAAGCTTTAAATTTTAAACATATCTCTAATCCTATTAGAATTAGTTGTTGACCAAATAATTATTGTCAGTGTGATATACATGTAAACAGAGCCCAACTAGACCCCTGACCAAAACCTATAAATTGACAATTGCATTTGTACCCAAAACAAATTAAGCAATAGCTTCAAGTCGATTGTCAAATTGTCGGTCATCTATTTATATCTAAGTAACAAAAAAGACATTATGTAAGTATTATCTAATTTTATGAATCAATTAGTTTGGCATTGGGTTAAAAAATGGAATGATTATCCACTTTATTGGTTTTCTTATAATTTGTTTAATTATCAAATAAAATTAGTATAAAAAGTTTTTCTTAATTATATTATAGGTACTTAAATAAAACACATCAAACAAAAAAAAATTATTTAAATTTTTTATAAGATTTCTTATGAGTTAATTTGGACCATATACTTCGACACAAGTCCATCCAGCTTGTAGATGTACTGAATTTCAACGAATCAAGATCAATTAGTCTAATAAATGAGTGAATCATTAACCCACTTAATTGGATGAGTCACGTTTTCATGAAACTTTATCACGCCTACCCATGATAAAATATTTCATTACGGATGCCAAAAAGTATGACTGAACTGAGTTATCGTGAATCATGATGTATTGGAATACATCAAATTCTCAAAAGCATCATAACCCAGAAACATCATAATTGAATGAAGAATTGTCTGCAGAATCTTCAAAGCACATATATGATTAGGTCTTGAAATGAACCAGCAAGTTCATCACAGTTTTCTCCATAACTGAATGTGCATTTACATAACATTCAAGAATATAATGCAAAATATAACAATAGCATGTCAAACACTTAATTTGGACAAAGGAGGCAAAAAAAAAAGTTCCTCCTAAGTTTAGTCAAATACAACTCAAGACATGGAAACATCAGGTAAAGACTATAATAGCAATTATCATGCAAGCCTTCCATGCCATCATGGAGTTTTTTTTTATCTCTTTATTCAGCAACAATACACATGATACAGAATCTTAGTCATTCACCATATCTAATCTTTGGCAATCTGCAATAGTTATAAAAATTAAAAAGTACCAAGAAACTCAAAACCCCTGACTATCAGCAAGAGATGGGGAAAAGGAAATCCTAAGGTTACATATACAGATTAGCTAACACAAAAATGTCTATCTTACAACTATCCTATTAAGGCCACCGCTTGTATATTTTGCAGCTAACAGTATAACTTCTCGCTTACATGTCTATACAGAGGACAACATGCAAATCAGAACAATTAACAAGCTTGCATTGGTAGCAAACTCGACTTGACTTGTAAATCAAGCATCACTGTCAGCACCATCAGACTTTTCTGCATCATCATCACCTTCGGGCTTTTCTGCATCAGCATCTCCTTCAGATGTTTCTGCTTCATCACCCTCAGGTTCATCCTCATCTTCTTCCTCTTCTTCACTCATGCTATTTATTACTTCAGTGATTATAACTTTTACCTCTGCTTTTCTGTGCATCAAATCCAGATCAAAATGGCTACTTGTAATGAAGTGCCAAAACAAGGTTCAGAAATGAGAGATCGGTACAACAGAATATAGAATAGCAGGTAGAATGAGCATTTAAAAAAAACATACCTAGTTGCCTGATAATATCAGATAAAGTTGCCTGCATTTTAAATAGTGCAAGAAACCTCAATCAGTATAAAGCTCAAGCACTTTTT